CCAAACTTGGCACGAATACTCAATATGCCCAAATTTGAACACTGGTGGAGTTTGGGGGAAATGAACCTTGACATCTAGGAGTTTTAGTTCCTGGGATTTATAGCTCACCTACAATCAAAGAGCATTCTGAACCCCATCAACGATAGCCAGCCTGACAAGATCTCCCTCGACCGCACATGCGCACCACTCTGCCATGCACCAAGCATGCCTGCTCTCCCCTCCCCGCTTTGAGTCTCAGAAACAGCCCTCCCCTTGGTGAGAAACCAGCTGAGAGGTTGGCCAATCACAGTGGAGGAGGGCTTTTGTTGGGAGGATTCGCAGTCTGTTTCCAAAAAGGAAGAGAAGGACATGCGGAGAGATCTTCAGTCTTCTTTGTCAAAGGGGTTCCTAAGACCATCAGAAATCTTCTTCTGCATTGATTCCTTGGTGGCCATCTCTTGGGAGGGATCAAATGATAGGAAAGGGTCAGACTAGGTGACCTTTTTGGGTCCCTTTAATGGAAAATGGTCTGTCTGGAAATTATTATATTGGAGTCTCCTTCTGTGTTGATTACTTGATGGCCATCTCTTGGGAGGGATCGAATGATAGGAAAGGGGCAAGACTAGATGACCTTTGGGGTTCCCGCCCAATAATAGTGCAGTGTAGGCCACCTAGAGTCTCTTTCTTTAGCTGTCTTCAAGAGGCGGCTAGATGGACATCTGTTGGGAAGGATCGAATGGTGTCTGAGTGATCTAAAGAGGTCCGTCTGGATGACCTTTGGGGTTCCCTTCTTTAGTGGAACTATGTAAGTCTGGTAGCATCTCTGTCTTTGGATATTTTGAAACAAAGCCTGGATGGTTATCTGTCAGGACGGGTAAAATAGTGTCTGTGTGATAGAACTAGGTCAGACTAGATGACCTTCGGGGTTCCCTTCCCATTCTAGTGCAATATAGGCTGCCTAGAGTCTCTTTCTTTAGCAGTCTTGAGACAGAGATTGGTGTTTTCTGATGGTCTTTGGTGACCCCTCTGAACCCCCCCCCCCACAACACTCCCCAGAGATCCCGACCCCCAGGTTGAGAAATGCTGTTTTACATCATCCCAGCCCTGAGGAGCAGAGATATTTGAATCTTCCAATCTTCAGTGCTGGGGTGCACATTTTTAAATGGAGGGTAATTGAAGTGTCTTACAGGGGAAATATTTGCCTCATCAACATTATCTGTATTGTTTTACACAGAATCCCCAATGGAAGCCACCCAACATGATGTATCAATATTCCTATTTTTACTCAAAATGACATCAAAGGATTTTATTTTTTCCTTAAAATGTCAGCCACATTGTTTTTAAAAGCAAGTCTAACTACAAATATCCAATGGAATTTCACTTCTCACTCCCACTCAAAATTACATTGAAACAACAAACAATTAGTTTAACTAACTGTTATTGTTTTTAAAATATGTATTTCTTTTTCTTTCAACCTATGTATTCGAAGCTATTTCAACAGACAAATTAAAAATAAAACAATTCAATCTGTAAATCACATCACTTTTGCTAAGAAGAACTAAACAAAAAGACCATACTTAGGCTATGTCTACACAACCAAAATCATGTGGACTCACCACTCAGTTGCTGTGGGGAGTCCACATGAGGCATGGACCAGATTTGCACATCTAGTCATGTACCACTGGATTGATGATATGAGCAGCTGGATTTAGCTGGATCCAGTCTGATCCACTCACTGTTGTTCACACTATCAATGGCCACACAGTTGCATCATCACCAGCAAGCTGTCTAGGAGGAGGCTTGTTAGCAACCTGGCATTTCTAATGATATCATCTCTAGCATTAAACCATGTGACCATAAATGCTATGTTGTCAGCAGGGCTTTGAGATAGAGTTGCTCGATAGCAGTGATGCAGCAATGGCAGCCTTGGTGCACCCTCGCCCCGTATGAATAATCAATGGAGAAGCTCCAGAACCCTTTAAGCCAGATTTTTTGTGCTAAATGATCTTAGGTAGGAGATAAAAGTCGAGAATTAGCAAAGTAGTTGAAAAGTTTCATAATTTCCCATGGTACTTAATGAAATATTTAATGGTAAAATTATTTTGATTTAAATGGGACAAGTTAATATGTGTGTTCTTTTTTTCAAAAAGGCAAATATCTCAATATTTGGGAGGAATGTTTTAATCTCTCAAAAGCTTCCTGCTTCTTACTTTGCTTTCAGCTCTCTCTATATTTGATTGTCACCATCATTAAATAACATCTCCTACGTACAATGCATAAAGTTATTTTAAATACATCAAAATATGTTATCTGATTCCTTGGATTTTGCCCCAAACCAACAAGTAACAAATGATTTGAATTGAACATGTCAGAATTTTGCTTTATTAAAAAAATAATTCTATTAAATTTTTACTAGGAGAGTGGTGGGTGGGAGAACAACGGAAGAAAAAGAAAACATTTGGGGATAATAGATTTGTAATTAAATAGTTGCAAGTTTACAAATGTCTAATATGTCGCAAGGAGAAGACAAAGAGGGTGAGGCCTGTTGAGGTATGGAAAGTTCTTTCACAAAATTATCATTATTACAACTAAGCTTTATAATATTTTCATAACTCTATGGAAATTATCTAGTGACTATTTCCAGACTCATTTAATTTTCATATGAATGACAAGGAAAAGCAGAAGAGGGTAAGGGTTACAGTCTATTAATTGGATCTGTAGTGCTCCAAGGGAAATGCACATAATTAATGGAGAAGCAGTTTTATTACATCACAGTAATTGTTTTGTGTCTTATTCTAGCTTGATTTTTAATCTTCAGCATGAGTGTTCACTTACTATAATTAACAGGATGTTTGTTTCAAATTAAAATAACAGCAACCTTTTCATTCAAGTTTATGCCCTTTTATTCTACTTTTAATTTTCGTGCAATAATGAGCATACTGACACTACTTCATTCACAGTACTCATTTAAACTGCTTTTGTCTTGTTCTTTCTGGATCACTAAGAAACATAATTAAAAATGATAAGAAGCTCTGAACCCATCTCTGTAAAACTTCCCTCAACTGTTTTATATGAGATATGGAATTTCAGAGAGAACAATAAACTCATTTTTATGATATATGTATTTTTTTACATACATAAAATAAGTAAGTCAAATACATATAAACTATATATAAATAAAAGTGTTATATAAAATTTAAATTGTAACAGAAAGGTGTGTGATAATCATGGATTGTATTACAAACATCTGACTTACAAATGACTCCTAGTGTGAGACAACAGGAAGTGAAAGAAATCTACCTCTCGGAATGGAAATTCATCCCTGAAATAGTTATCATGGGGAGAATACACACACACATATACGATACCTCTGGAGTTACACTTAAAAATGTATCTGTTCCAATATATATGCCAATTCAGTTTAAGAATAAGCCTATAGGTTTATCTTGTTTATAACCTACAGGCTGCCTATATTTACTCCCTTAAAATTATTAAACCTGCAGTGAACAAACATTTTTCAGTACTGCACTATTGTTGTTTTTCAATTTACTTCTGAAAAAGTAAATTGCCGGAAAAAACTTTTAAAAATTTCCTACTGCTCACATTTCTATCACAAATTTAATAATAATTTCATTATTAAATTCATTCAATCACATCTTCCAACATAAAAATGTCAAAGATATGCAAAACTGTATTTGATGGTGAACATCTGAAGACATTTTTGGATTTAGAATGCCAAATATCTTTTTAAAACATGCCTTTTGGTGACATCCAATTTTTGAAGCCTGTGTTATTTCTTAAAACTATGTAACAGATAATGTTTAGTATAAGGTAAAGTGACTCTTCAAGGGAACAAGTGCTTGACACGATGGAGGATTAAAAGAGACAAAATAGTTTTGTTTCTTTGCTAATACTGATGGTTTCTTCTGTTTTTATTGTTTATGCCTACTTGCTTACTTTCTTACAGTTCAAGTACTTTTTATAGTTCAGAACATAGTTGCATTTGTAAAATAAATAAATAAATGTACATCCCAGTTATCACTACCATCTGAATAAACTTTACTTTTTTACTCATTTTAGTCAAACTCAATGGAATATAAGACTTTTTGTTCCGAAATACACTAAAAGGGGACATTCTTTCCATAAACAATGCCACATATACTCTGCCTTTCTATAAATTTCCTATACAGTTTATACTATATACAAATCCCAGGATTCCTAGGGATTGATTCAAGACATTGACACTGACATAAAGCTGACATAATTGTACAAATGCACACAGTGACCACATGTCCAGCTGGAGTTTTGCCCTATATGCATTCACTCACCACAAAGAGCATACCTGAAAAGAACTATTGTACAAGCAGTTTCAGAGTTGTAAGCAGTCGGCTTACAAATGACTCATAGTTAGGAACAGGGGAGAGACAACAGGAAGTAAGAGAAATCTACCCCTCAGAAGGAAATTCAGAGTTATCATGGGGAAAAGGTGGCTCTCAGCTGAAGCTTTACTCCCCAATCTTTGTTTCCACAAGCCACATTTTTGAATATGCAATTATCACAGGGGTAGAAAGTGAGGTGAAATCTTCTGAACAGAGGCACAGGCAGCAAAAGAAATACCACAGGGGTTTTAATCCTTCTGTATGCTATCCAAAACTAATATACAGTGTGTGTGTGTGTGTGAGAGAGAGAGAGAGAGAGAGAGAGAGAGAATGGTTGAAATTACATTTTAAAAATATACCTGTTCTGACTTACATACTACATTCAGCTTAAGAACAAACCTCCAGAACCTATCTTGTTCATAATTTGGGAACTGCCTATATTTAGCAATAGCCTTTGGCATCACTTAAATTATTATATTGAAACAAGAGGGTAAACAGTAATATCCAAACTATTAATTTTTCCTGTGCTGAATGTTGATTTTTAAAGGCGCCAACGGGGAGGAAGAATGCATTAAGCCAAACTTAATTACGTCCATAAGAAAACAGGTATTAAGAAAATGGTAAAATGATTTAAAGTCTTACCAGGAATGGGCTCCAGCAAATGCATGAGACACACATTATAGCCAAGAGCTGAATGATCATTTCAAAATGATGAGATCTGCCTTGTCTTTGTTGACTTTTGAATTTGACTTTTAAAAGTGTAATTCCTGTTACAGCGTTGCACAAGAATGAAACACCAAGGGCCAGTAAACCCAAGCATGAAAAAAGTAGGAGGTAAAATCTGTCTTCCCAGTCATCAAAATGTTCTGTTTTATAAAAGCACCAAGTCCTTGATGCTTGAATCTGATAGGCTCTTAACCTAAGTATAGGCAACAACGCTATGAAAATGGCAAAAAGACATACCATAGTCAATATTACTTTTACATGCTTGTAAGTCATCTTCGTTGAATGAAATATTGGCTTAGTGACTCCAATGCAGCGTTCAACAGCCATTACACTGCCCAGAAAAAGAGGGCATAATCCAAAGAACACCATACAGATGCCAAAAACACTGCAGAGAATGTTTGATTGGTTAAACCGAATCCAGTCTTTATCAGATGCATATACAAATACTGCAATGGTTCCAGCAATTAGATGGCCCAGCAGGTCTGTGATAACCAAGCCACTGGCAAAAAGCAAAAAGGACGCTTTTGACTTCTGTCTAAACCTCTGGTAGGCCTTCATAAGAATTGCTATTGCAAGACTGTTGGATAAAATCCCCACAGTCATGAAGATGATGGAAAAAAACACAGAGATCTTCTTTTCTGTGTGGCAGGTAGCATTGGAAAACAGACCAATTCCAGTCAGTGGCAATGGTTTTGAATTGTTCATCGTCAGAAAGGGAGGTTCAGAACATTTCAATATTCAGGAAATCATCAGGTATCTGTAACATATTTTAAAAGTCTGTTTAAAGTACAAGAAAATGCAATGTATTGCTCATCTCACTTGATATGTACAGCAAGAAGTATAGTATTTCTGTAATAGACATTCAGCCACCCCTTTCAAGTGCAACCAAGCTTAATACTTAGTGCATATTTCCACATACCAATAGCTACTTAAGTCTGCAACTCCCATGCATTCTTAATTTTGAAGTAAAACTGATTGAACCTTGCAGTAATAAAGATCTCATCGTACATTCAAAAAATGCTAGGAGAGAGAACAGGTCTCTCTGTCATTCTGCACAATTTATAGCCTACAATAGCAAAGCTGATACACAGAAGACTTGTGCAATTAAAAGTATATGCATACAGTCAAGTGCAAACAACATAGATGAGGTGATCATTGCTTCCAGCAAATATTCAAACAGTGCATGTCAAATTTGAAATATTTCAACAAAGCCAAATCCTGTTGGTGTAACTGATGTAGAACATCAGAATTCACTTTTTTCCATCATTGCAAAGGTTTCTTTACTACATGAAACAAACCACCTCCACCCACATGTTAAGTAATGCAACATTTGCATTATCATAATTTTTCTTGTCATTGAAAAGAAGGGATTAATTGGAGATGCATCTGACTTTTCCCCTATAGATGGATGTGTTATGACAGACAGTACCCACCCCCCCCCCCCCCACACACACACACACGTTCAAAAGAGCCGCAACACTTAAAAGGTAATTCCTTGGCTAAGTGATAGCATAGCAATGTGTCATACATATATTTACCAATGCATGATTCTAGTCAAAGTTGAGAAATGCATAGGTAGTAACAGAGTAGGGATTTTATCACCAAAACGATACATCAGTGTTTATGAAATACTAAGCACCTTTCAATGCTATAATCAATCTTTATGACATGAAACCTCACTAAGAGACTATATAAAAACACCACAGCACAAGGTTAAAAGTATCACAATAAATTTCTTTAAACCTGATGGACTGGAAATATTTTTATTTGCTGGTAAAAGGAAAGCAAGGAGAGAGCTATCCTAGCTTTCCAGAGCAAGGGATTCTAAAATGTGAAAGCCGCAATGAAAAAGGCCCTCTCCCTTGTTCCCACAATATAAGCCTAAGATAATTTGGACAAAGAATTCATAATGGGCTTTTACAGAAAGATGCAATCCTTCAAAACCCTTGGACCCAAGCTGTTTAAGGTGTTATGGGTCACAACTAATACTCTGAATTATTCCTGAAAATGAACTGGCAGCCAGTAGAACTATTGCAAAAAAGGGAAATATGTGTTCCTTGATGCCAGCACCAGTATATGTGTTCCTTGATGTCAGCACAATCTGGCTACACTTTTAAAGCCAATTGAAGTTACTGAGCACTTTTCAAGGCAGCCCAATAGAGCACACTACAGTAATCCAAACGGCATGTAAGCAAGTTATGTGTTAACATGATCATATCACATTTTCTTCAGAATGGATGCTGTTCGTGAACTAGCTTTGGTTCCTGGCCACCACTGAAACCTGGGCCACCAGGCTTCAGGCTGAATAACCCCATTTAGCACAGGCTGAATCCCTATTCCCTGGTCAGGAACCCCTTTGTCTTGTCTGCATCAAGTTTCACTTGCTCACCCTTATCCACTCCACTATAGATGGCAGATGTTGATTTAGAACAGTTAACAACTTCTTGGAAAGAGCTTAGAAACTAGGCCTATCTGAGAAATATACAGAATGAGGAATCAGGCAATAGAACACAAAGCAAGAATCATATCAAGAAAATATTCGGCAAAATACTTTTAGTGATTGAAAGTTAAACCTGCAATACTAAGCTTCTGTGGTTGTTTGTTGTCTTTTTCATACAATGACCCAAAGAGGACCCACCTTATTCCTGTCAGATTCCTATCCAAATTCTCCTTGCTCTATATTCATTTAGTGACCAAAGCATCTGGCTATGTTGTTTTGCCCAATGTTTCCCAACCTATGGTCCATGGACCACCAGTGGTGCACAATAATTAAAATATAGTCTGTGGCCTCACTGTTACTACACCGTTGCAACGAGAGTAACTGGTCTCGCAAACCCCTCTTATAGTGTTGAGGCAACAGGGATGTTGGGAGGGCAGAGGCTGAATACCCACAAAAGGTGCGACAAGAAACTTGCTATCTCTTCCTCCTCCCTCCTGCTGAGCAATGTCATTCCATGTGATGCCTGGAAGTGGGGGCGCCTTGGTGTCTTCATTTTGGTGGCTATTCCTGGGGTTATTTGAAATGCTGATTCAAAAAACTGCATTAGATAGACTACATCAGCTCTAGATTATTAAATTTCTGTGGGCAAGCAGATGGTGACTACTGGATGGCATATGTTCTGTATCAGAAACTAGAGCTGATGTGGTCTATGCAATGCAATTTCCCGAATCAGCACCCCAAACAACCAAACCAAATCTAAAGGTGACCAAAAACTGATACATAACCCTTTTGGTACTAATACTGGAGAATGGTTCCTGGTCAAAGTGGTCCCCGGTTTAAAAAAAAGGTTGGGAACCACTGCTATAGCCACACACAGAATGGCAGAAGCTCTCATATCATGTCATGTTAAAAAAAAACAAAACACAAATGTGCAATATTGTCTTTCAGACAAACAAAAGCAATCATGCACTCTTGCCCCAGTCAAGACTGTCATCAGGAACTGAAAATGGTTCTTTGGCACTGAACTTTACGATTACAATGAAACAAGCAAGCCTCAAAAATCAGTAAGTATAAAGAAGTCTCTGCATGCAACTTTACTAAGAACAAATGTGTTAGGCATTCTCAAAACAGGTCTTGAATATTTGCCATAAAGCATTTGATTTGTGTGCATATGCACAGGAGGTCTACTTTTCAAGTCCATAAAGATCTAATATATTTTAGCATATCTTCTCCATCTGGTCCTTTTTTAGATTTGTAAGATACAAATCTAGTTAATACTGCAATGTTTTATTCACCAATATGTAGCCCTAACTACCAATTGCTGAAAATTAAATGCAAATAATACACACATTTCACTGAATGTTAAAAAAATCAGCTTTTTGATAGGATAAAATATCATGATTTTGACAAGAGGTTCCATAATTGCACATTGTTCAAAACTGTTTCTGATACATTGTGCAAGGTAATTGATTACTGATTTTCAATTATAAAGTATTATCATTACAAGTGACTCCATCATATGTAGAAACACTAGAATATTTTACAAGCCTTGAAAAATATATTCTTAATTTCAATTCACTGCACAAGTGTGCAAGAGGCATTCTGAACACAGCATGATTTCAGAATTGGAGGAGAAAGGGTTGAACAGCAAATGATCATACTTAAGAATTAATGCCTTGCAAAAACTTGTGAAAATTACAAGGTTGAGAAGGAGAACAAGCAAAACTACTTTTTGCTCATTCAAATATCTAAATAGATGCTGCAAAATATACCTTTTTAAAAGCATATACGAACTCAACATACGAACTCTACACAGAGAGCCAAATGCTAATTTGCTTTATGACTGTTATTCATAAAATTATTGTCTAACCATCATTAGAATCCAATCCACTAAATTATAATTGAATTGAGTGAATGTGGACGAATTAAAGACTTTATGCTACTTAAATGTTTATTGCAATTTTTTTAGTGAAGCAATACCAAGAAACTGTAGAAATGCCACATTGTCACTGATTGTCCTATAAATGGTTCAGTTACACAGTACAGGATGTGTGAGAATTAGGCAGCCCTCCATAAGTGGCTGAACTTCAACTCTTCCAACATTTCTTACTAAGGGCAGCTGTTGAGGACCAAAAGAAGTTATAGTTCAATAATATCTGGAGGTTCACACAGTTCCCACCACTGCAGTAAACTAGTAGTGTTGAGCTTGTTGGCCTTTTGCACATTTATCTCTGTGTCACTTCCACATATTCCAGTACATTCCCTGATGTTTCCCCTTGTTTCTTGCCAAATATTCTTCTGGTCTCCAGTTGTCTGCTCTAGTCACAGGGGTTCAGCTGGTCAACATGGCAACCATTAGTCAACTGAGAAAAAGAAAAGCAAACAAGGCATTTCCAGCATGAAGGCTGCAATTCCTTAGTGCCTTAAACCAACAAATCCACTGGAGATTAGCTGTACTGATTTCAATGACTCAGGTTCTAGTATGTTTGCCCATTAGAAGGCTGTGATAAAAATACACTTAAATACACTTAACATTTATATAAATGTAAAAAAAAAACCCCACTAGACCGAACAAAAGTGGTGCAGTTCTTAGCAAAAAGAACTTGCTGTTTACAATAGTGTGGCAAGAAAGGATTTTCTGTTATCAACACTAAAGCTGTTGTAAGTCTAAACTGTGTGTATCTGTGTCTTCAAGTGGCATGTCGACTTAGGGCAGTGGTTCTCAACCGGTCCCCAGATGTTTTTGGCCTACAACTCCCAGAAATCCCAACCAGTTTACCAGCTGTTAGGATTTCTGGGAGTTGAATGCCAAAAACACCTGGGAACCCCAGGTTGAGAACCACTGACTTAGGGTGACCACATGGATTCAGTATCATTTTCTTAGGTGAAGAATACTCTGAGGTGAGTTGCCATGTCCTTCCCCTGAAATATAGCTTACAGCACCTGGTGGTTTCCCATCCAAATACTAACCAGGGTTGACCCTGCTTAGCTTGCAAGATCAGATGGGATCAGAGAGCTGTACAATGATGAAGGACATGTTGAAACATTTCCACAAGTGATGTTAAATTTGCTTCTATAGGAAATGCCACCCATGCAAATTGGAAACAGATTGACATTAAATGCAAATAAATATCAGTGTCTTTTTTAATTCAACTGGTGAAAGTGGGAAATTCAAGCACTGTTCCTAGAATCATTGTGTTTTGTGTCACAATGTCACCCCCATACAGGCAATTGTGACAAGCAATTCTGTCTTGTTTTTAGAAACTAATGAAACAGATAATATCACATACTAACAGAAATTGCAAGACCTAGCCCCAAAGTTGTTATTACACCAGACAAAGGCCCCTTCTGCACTGCCATATAAAATCCAGATTATCTGTGTTGAACCAGGTTATATACAGTATAGGCTCATATAATCCAGTTCAAAGCAGATAATGTGGATCATCTATTTTGATAATCTGGATTATATGGCAGTGCAGAAGGGGCCTAGGTGGGGTTCTTAGATTTAGATGACATGCTACAGTGTTAGCTGGTGTTGAGATCTGGAACTAAAGCAAGAAATCTGATGCAGTTTGATGGCATGTTCCTATCTAAACTCAGATAGAAAGCAGGACATACCGTGGGGATACAACTGTAGCTGGAGGCTAAACAGAGAAAGAGGAGCAGGGTGTGAAGACAGGAAAAGAAAGGATCAGGAGGCAAGATTCAAAAGGAGCGTAGAATCCCCTTTGGGGACATAAAGTGGGGTAAGCATCATCATAATCCTCATCATCATAGAGGGAAATCTTAATTTACTGGTTGAACTGCTGGGAAGAGAAACCCACAGTTTCCAGTAAGTTTCAGAAAAGAGGAAATTTTGAGGAGAGACAAAACTAAGCTGAAATGAATGAGAGATTTGAGATTTGGAGATGCAAATGTTTATGGGGTCAGACTGATGGACTGCTGAAAGTTGGGTAATGGAAAAAAAAGGAAGAATGGTGAAGGAGGCACAGCCCTGTGATGTAAAAGTCCTAATGAAAAGCAGAAACTTATGCACAAGATGAGCAATGAAAAATAAAGGTGGGAAATGACCAAAGAAGAGGGGGGTGCAAGTTATAAAGAAGTTTAAGAAATAGAAAAGGAGTCTGAAGTGAATGATAGAAACTGAAAATGGAACAGGCTGCGAAGAAGCAGCAACAATAAATGGGAGCATAGCAGTATTTCTCTCACAGCCCAACTATATCCTTCTGTACAAATCTCACTGAGGCTGGATCTACACTGCCTTAATGCACAGGCAGTCACTAAGTTACAAACATCCGATATTACAAATGACTTATAGTTAAGAACGGGGATGAGACAACAGGAAGTGAGAGAAATCTACTCCTCGGATGGGAAAATCACTTTCTGAAAGAGTTATCACTGCAGAAAGGCATCTCCACTGAAGCTTTCTCACCAATCCTTGTTTCCACAACAAGGCACATTTTTCACAATCCAATTCTCACAAGAACAGAAAGTGAAGGTAAATCTTCTGAACAGGGACACACACAGCAAAAGAAATACCATAGGGATGTTAACCCTTCCCTGTGCTATCCAAAGCTCACTCACTTGCTCGCTTTCCCTCTCTCTCTCTCTCTCTCTCTCTATATATATATATATATATATATATATATACACAGAGAGAGAGAGATCTACACATAGATAGATATATATCTATATCTCTATCTATCTATCTATATCTACACATATACATAGCTTACAGAAGTGGTTCTCAACCTGTAGGTATTATCACTACAACTCTTAGAAATCCCAGCCAGTTTACCAGCTGTTAGGATTTCTGGGAGTTGAAGGATGGGCAAAACATCTGGGGACCCACAGGTTGAGAACCACTGGCTTACGGGCAGTCCCCAAGTTACATACAAGATGGTTCTGTAGGTATTTTCTTAAGCTAAATTTGTATGTAAGTCAGAACAGGTACATGTTTAAAGTGTAACTCCAACCAAATATAAACAGAACCTGGGAGAGAGAGAGAGAGAGAGAGATGGCTGGAGTTACAATTAAAATGTAAATGGAGGTACATTTTAGTGTGTGTATTTGTAATGTTTTTGCTGTGCTTATGTATTTTAAATGTTTTGTATTCTGTCTTGAGTCATGAGGAGAGACAGGTAAGAAATAAAGGTAAAAAGGTAAAGGTTTCCCCTTGATATTAAGTCTAGACATTTCCGACTCTGAAGGGTGGTGCTCATCGCCCTTTCTAAGACGAAGAGTCGGCGTTGTCCGTAGACACCTCCAAGGTCATGTGGCTGGCATGACTGCATGGAGCACCTTTACCTTCCTGCCGGAGTGGTACCTACTGATCTACTCACATTTGTATGTTTTCAGACTGCTAGGTTGGCAGAAGCTGGGCCTAACAGTGGGAGCTCACCCTGCTTCCCGGATTCAGACCATCGATCTTTCAGTCAGCAAGTTCAGCAGCTCAGCGGTTTAGCCCACTGTACCACCAGGGGCTCCAAGACATACATTTATCATTATAATAAATAATAATAATAAATTTAAAAATAATAGCAATAATAATAACTTTATTTTTGTACCCCGCCTCCAGCTCCCTGAAGGGACTTGTGGTGACTTACATATGATAGAAAATGCCTTAAAGCAACACATAGAATAATCACACAGTACAATACAAAAAGTAAACCCAATGGCATATAAAAACAATTTAAAACTCAGAAGGAGGAGAAGGGGAAGGAAAAGGAGAAGGAAAGGGAAAAGGAGGAGAAGGAGGAGAAAGAGAAGAATGAGGAGGAAGATAGGAGGAGGAGGAGGAGGAGGAGGAGAAGAAGAAGAAATAATAATAATAATAATAATAATAATAATAATAATAATAATAATCTGTAAGGCTTTATGTTGATTACCTTCTGGCTGACGAGCACCCCAAAATTACTGCCAAAGTCACTACCTTTTGTGCAGCAGCAATAGCTTGTTGGTGCAAGATCACAGTCTTAGAAGGTTTCATACTTACTTTAGTTTTTACCTTTGTCATTTAAGTATAGAAATGTTTAATACTGTTTTCACTATCACATTCAATACTGTTTTTTAACTCTGCTTTTGACAGTGTTTCCTAATACCTAAATGTATGTCATGTTCCTATTTTGAGGGTTGGTCTTTTTTGGTGCTGGTTATTGACTTTTTAGTGCTGGTTATTATATAATTATTGACATATATATATATATATGTGTGTGTGTGTGTGTGTGTGTGTGTGTGTGTGTAACACCAATAGCATATAAAACGACAATTTAAAACTAATAATAATAATAATAATAATAATAATAATAATAATAAATCAGTAAGGTTTTATGTTGATTACCTTCTGGCTGACCAGCACCTCAAAATTACTGCCAAAGTCATTAGCTTTTGTGCAGCAGCAATAGTTTGTTGGTGCAAGATCACAGAGTGGTTTGAAGATTTTAATACTTATTTTAGTTTTTACCATTGCCATTTAAGTAGACATGTTTAATACTGTTTTCACTATCACATTCAATACTGGTTTTTAAACTCTGCTTTTGACAGTGTTTCTTAATACCTAAATGCATGTCATGTTCCTATTTTGAGAGTTCCTTTTTGGTGCTGGTTATTGACTTTTTTAGTGCTGGTTATTATATAATTATTGACCATTTTATTTATTTATATACATATATATAAATTACGGTCAATAACTAGCACACAAAAAAAAGAATACCCATCAAAATAGGAATATGACATGCATTTAGGTATCAGGAAACATTGTCAAAAGCAGAGTTCAAAAAACAATAATTATAATATATATATATATATATATATATACACACACACATATACATAACCAGCACCAAAAAAAGAAAACTGCCTCTCTCTATATATGTGTGTGTGTGTATTGTACCTGTTCTTTCTTACTTACATATATATTCAACTTAAGAACAAACCTACAAAAAGAAAACTGCCTCTCTCTATCTATATGTGTGTGTGTATTGTACCTCTTCTTACTTACTTACATACATACATATTCAACTTAAGAACAAACCTACAGAACCTATCTCGTATGCAACTTGGGGATTGCCTGTTTATATATATATATATAATTATGGTCAGTAACCAGCTAAAGAAAGAATAACATAATGTGCATTTAGGTATTAGGAAACATTATCAAAAGCAGAGTTTAAAAAACCAATAAGATATGTGTGTGTGTGTGTGTGTGTGTGTATGTGTGTGTGTATATATATATATATATATATCGGTCAATAACCAGTACCAAAAAAAGAACAACCGCCAATATATATATAGAGAGAGAGAGAGTACCTGTTCTGACTTACATACATATTCAACTTAAGAACAACCCTACAGAACCTATCTTGTATACCTGTAATGTCCTTTCAGAATGCAGGATAACTGCATTGAACTGGTTTATAGGCGTCCACAATGCCATATAATCCAGTTCAACCTGCATTCTGAAGTCATATCATGTATGGCAATAGCTTCAGTTCAGCTATGAGTATCCCGTTCCCTCTCTCCCAAAGGACACTCAAAGCAAGCGGATCAAAAAGCTGCCAGTCCTGACTACAGGGCAGAATTCATGCAGTGTAGCACCGCTTTAACTTGCCACGGGTGAGTGCTCTGGAATAATGAAGGTCGCAGTTTGGTGAGGCAAAATCCCTCTTGGACCGAGGAAGATAAAGCGGGTTACAACTCCCATAGAACGGAGCCGTGGTATGGACTTGCCAGTGGAGAGGCACCCACAGAAGAAGAAGGATAGGTCTCAAGGGAGACCACCAAGTTCAGCATCTGAATCAACGTGAAAGAGAGGCAGAAGCCAGCTCTGCGCTCCCACGCCGCCTTCCAAGGCTGGGAAGAAGAGTGAGTGAGGCTGGTCTGCTCCAGCCCTAAAGCGCGGGAAGAAAGGCTGCTTTACCTGCGCTCCTGGGTCCCCTCCGCGACGGCTCGCTTTCCCCAAGGTCTCCCCATGGTCTGGTCTGCTCTGGAGGCGAAGAAGGGCTTGTTCCCCCTTGGCCCGGCTCACCCCTCAGTGGAGGCAAAAGCGGCCTCGACTCCAAGACTCGCCCACTTTCCCGCCCCTTCTGGGCTCGGAGCGAGCGTCACGCTTCATTCCTCCGTGCTTTGGTCCTTCACTCCCTCTTCAGCCTCAGCACAGCTCCACGCCGCTCTCTCCATCCCGGGAGAGAGAGAGCGAGACCAATGCGCCTCTCTTCCTGCTTTAAACAGCCAGCCCTCCTCAGTCACAAAAACACACACACCTCCAGGGCTTTTGAAGGGACTAAAAACTAAGATATTCTCCATCACTAAACAATGCAAACACACCCAAGCCCCTGCTCCCAAGAGACTATATTAAGGACATCATCCCACTGAACTTCTGGTCGCTTCTGGTGTGAGAGAATCAGCCGTCTGTGAAGACGTTATCAGAGGACGCCTGGCTGTGTTAGGATCTGCGGGGAGGCTTCTTTCGTGTTCCCCCAGCAAGCGAGAATCAAAATGTGGCAGCCTAAAACCCATAACATTTTTTACTTTTGAGTTTCAGAAGCGACTTGAGAAACTGCAAGTTGCATCTGGTGTGAGAGAATCAGCCATCTATGAAGACATTGCTCAGGGGCCTGGATGTGTTACAATACTGCAGGGAGGCTTCTCTCATGTCCCCTCAGGAACACCTCAGGAAGTGAGAGTCCAAAAGTGGCAGGCTAAAACCCAGAACCTTTTTTGTGAGGGAATTGGCTGTCCACAAGGACATTGTCCAGGGGACACCCAGATGTTTTGATGTTTTACCATCCTTGTGGGAGGCTTCTCTCATGTCCCGGCATGGGGAGCTGGAGCTGACAGAGGGAACTCATCCATGCTCTGCCCGGATTCAAGCCTCTTGTTGTTTTTGTTTTTTGTTGTGTCAGGAGCGACTTGAGAAACTGCAACTCGCTTCTGGTGTGAGAGAATTGGCTGTCTGCGAGAACGTTGCCCAGGGGACGCCCGGAAGTTTTGATATTTTATCATCCTTGTGGGAGGCTTCTCTCATGTCCCTCCAGGAATACCTCAGCAAGTGAGAGTCCAAAAGTGGCAGGCTAAAACCCAGAACCTTTTTTGTGAGGGAATTGGCTGTCCACAAGGATGTTGCCCAGGGGACGCCTGGATGTTTTGATGTTTTGTCATCCTTGTGGGAGGCTTCTCTCATGTCCCCGCATGAGGAGCTGGAGCTGATAGAGGGAGCTCATCCGTGCTCTCCCCGGATTCAAACCTGTGACTTGTCGGTCTTCAGTCCTGCCGGCACTGGGGTTTAACCCACTGTGCCACCTGTTAAGGTTGGTAAATGTGAATAAGCAGAGTAAGTAGAAGCTTTACCACAGTTAATAAACCAAGATATATCCTGGTGTATATAAAAAAGTGTCAGACAGGCTTATAGAACAAGTAACAGTATCTTTACTTCAGTTCAAAGGTTCAAACCATGTAACAATGTATACATCAGTCTTTTTGAATACAGGTTCAAATTCTAACACCTCCGACCTGTCGGTCTTCCGGTTTAACCAGGCATCCTCAAAGGTTTAACCAGGCATCCTCAAACTGTGGCCCTCCAGTAGCTTGGGCCTTCAGCTCCCAGAATTCCTGACAACTGAACAAACTCATTAGGGCTTCTGGGAGTTGGAGGTCCAAACAGCTGGAGGGCCACAGTTTGTGGATGCCTGGTTGATACCAATGAGAGACTCCCTCCTTGGCACACAGAAAACTGGGTGACTTGGAAGGCGCTGAACAGACTGTGCTCTGGCACCACGAGATGCAGAGCCAACCTTAAGAAATAGGGTCACAAAGTGGAGTCCACAACATGCGAGTGTGGAGAAGAGCAAACCATAGACCACCTACTACAATGCAGTCTGAGCCCGACCACTTGCACAATGGTGAACCTTCTTACAGCAACACCAGAGGCACTCCAAGTAGCCGGCTTCTGGTCAAAGGACATTTAATAGAATGCTAAGTTTTTTTAAACTTGGTGTTTTTTAAATACTTTACAACTGTACCCTTGGTCCGCTCCTGATACGATAAATAAATAAATCCCACTGAACACAGAACGGATGGCTTTCCAATAATAACACTTTGTAAGCACCATAAAGCCCGGATAAAAGGAAGACACAGCACTGTGAGACAAAGTAGACTTCAACCCACTGAATATCCCAAGTGTTTGGAAGAGTGGATTTACCATTCAGCTCAGGCATACCCCATTTTGAAATTAAATGGGTGGTTTCCCTCCTTTCATTACACACTAGCAAAGTATCTGTTTTATTCATGAGTTCTCCATTGCTTTGCCATCACATTATAGAGAGTGGTTCCTGCCCACTGTCCTTCCCCCATTTTCTTTGTGAAAAGAAACACCTTCTCTCCCAGATGATCATTTTTGTTCCTTGGGTTATCAACGTCATTTCCTAATTGGTCCTATCAAAAACACATGGGGAAAGTTTGTTAAATTGCCAAAACTTGGTCTTTGCAGGAGGGACACAAGCACATTTTGCTCTAGTTTCGCAATGTTTGAATATCTTGTAGAGTCTCCACCAATTTCGCATAGTTTGTAGGCACAAAAACAAAGATTCGGGAGCACAACATCTGCAAGGGTTGAATGAAAAGTTATGCCTTCACCTTTGTTACTTGGGTTTGGATGGGAATAATAAGTCGCATTGACCGACAGTCTGCGCAGGGTTCCATATTTCGCACTTTAACAACACAATAATTCAATGCTGAGGCTTCCCACCAAAATGGAACTGTAAAGGAGAGTCTACTGAACAAGCCAGTACCTGCAGCATACCAGTACTGCCCTCTATTGAGGAGTTATTAAGGTGGAGGCATTACTTTTCATTCAACCCTCATACTTTGAAAGTAAGGACTACACAATTCAACAGGAAATAACACTTGCAAACTAGGAACATAATTTCTTTATTTTTATTCTTATTATTATTCAGAGGCAGGATGGCCATCTGTCAGGGGTGCTTTGATTTTGCTTTTGCTATATGGCAGAAAGAAAGGGTTTGGACTAGATAGTCCTTGGGCTTGACCAAAGGAAGAGGAGGAGGGAAGGAGGTGTCTGGGAGCTCTCTCTTTGCCACCAGTCCTCCCTCTCCCTTCCCCTTGGAAAGGAGGGAAGAAAGGGAAGAAAAGGGACAGAGTCTCCCCTTCCCAGGTTCCATCCTAGGCCTGGTTCTGTTCAACCTCTTTATTAATGACTTAGATGAAGGGTTAGAAGGAATGATCATCAAGTTTGCAGATGACACCACATTGGGAGGGAGAGCCAATGCTCCAGAAGACAGAAGCAGAATTCTAAATAATCTTAACATGTTAAAGAGATGGGCCAAAACCAACAAAACGAAATTCAACAGGGACAAATGCAAGATACTCCACTTAGGCAGAAAAAATTGAAATGCAAAGATATAAAATAGGGGATGCCTGACTCAACAGCAGTACGTGTGAAAAAGATCTTGGAGTCCTTGTGGAAAACAAGTTAAACATGAACTAACAATGTCATGTGGCAGCTACAAAAGCCAATGGGATTTTGGCCTGCATAAACAGGAGTCTAGTGTCTAGATCCAGGGAAGTCATGCTACCCCTCTATTCTGCCTTGGTCAAACCACACCTGGAATCACACTGTGTCCAGTTCTGGGCACCGCATTGAAGGGAGATGTTGATAAGCTGGAATGTGTCCAGGGAAGAGCGACTAAAATGATCAAGGCTCTGCAGGACAAGCCCTATGAGGAGCAGCTTAAGAAGTTGGGCATGTTTAGCTTGCAGAAGAGAAAGCTGAGCTGAGACATTATGAGGGCCACGTATAAATATGTGAGGGGAAGTCATAGGCAGGAGGGAGCAAGTTTGTTTTTTGCTACCCTGGAGACTAGGATACAGAATAATGCCTTCAAACTACAGGAAAGGAGATTCCACCTGAACATTAAGAAGAACTTCCTGACTGTGAGAGCTGTTCAGCAGTAGAACTCTCTGCCCCAGAGTGTGAAGGAGGCTCCTTCTTTGGGTGCTTTTAAGCAGAGGCTGGGATGGCCATCTGTCAGAGGTGCTTTGAATGCAGTTTGCCTGCTTCTTGGCAGGGGGTTGGACTGGATAGCACATGAGGTCTCTTCCAACTCTATGATTTTATGATTCCCTCAAGGCTCGCCTCTTCCTCCCATCCCCCCTTTTCCTCATTGGAGGGAGAGGGAGGCCCTGTGTCAATGAATGAGAAGGAGGGAAGGAGAAAAAAATGGGGATGGGAGAGCGAGAAAGAGAGAGGGAGAGGGAGAGAGAAAGAGAGAAAGGCAGCACAGGCCCGGTTAACTTGACTACATATTATAAAGTCTTAGCTGGAGAGCCCAGATTCTTACCTTCCTTGTGGAATAGCCTCTTTGAAAACAATAAAACCCTAAACTTCCCTACAGTGAGGATGCTGATTGTTCCCGTGGTCTGGCATAGGCTCAGAGGTTTCCACATAAAAATGCTTTGCCCCTGACATCTTCCAAAACCCTGCACAAACAAAGCTGGGTTGCGTCAAATGCTCTATAATGAGGGACTTCTTTCCTTCCACCTTCGGTGTAGTGGTGTGGTTTGAAGAGCAACACAAAGAACGAGAAGCTCACGCCCTCGTTAGCAAAAGACTCAATAATTCAGTGGTCCAGAAGATGTTGTTAGAAAAGCCAGCGAGGGCCTTGAATTGGCTCAGTAAGCCTGTTTTCTATTTGAGCCCATAAAAGAGGCTGCCACATTTGCTTTGGCAAGGCACACGGACTCATCACTCCGTCAATATAGTCCCAGACTCTTAATGGTGCAACTCTGCTGACAATGAGTTTAATTTTTTGCAACATTTCCAAATGAAAGCTTTTGCATATGTGTGAAAGAGGAGGGAAATTCAAGTACATTTAACAGAAATGTAGTGGATGTTCTTCCACTAGCAAATGTTGGCAGGGAAGGAACTTTAATTTATGGTTCAAATTTCAACGATACGTGGCAGATAAAAATATGGCTTGGCACAAGAGCCTCTGCAATGTGTGTGTGTAATATAAGCCTGGTTCCAGTTTTAACTGTAACACTTTGTCATTACACTGAGAATCCAACTTATTAACGTAATTGCCATTGGAATGGTACGAATAAAAATTGATTTGATTTAGGCCAATGATCTTAACTTTTTTCTTAGCTAGACAGAATCTGGATGTGCTGGTGACAATATCTATCTCCATATTACGAAAGGATCTTAAAGTTCATTGATTTCATTCAGTCTACTCTATGTCTGAA